CCCCCCCACTATTCTCATCTTGCAGTATGTGCAGGAAGAAAATCCATGCAACTTTTGAAAAGTATAGGTTTTCTGAAGTGTGTCTCCCCCTCACCCCGTTTTTTGCTGTTTCAGGCCACTTAAAATGTATGAATATTCAAAGAACTTTTTTTCTACAGAAATGTTTCCAAAGGATTGTCCAAATCATCCGGCTGCCCTATAATGCCAGCATCCTAATGAATGGGAAGATATGTCAACAGGTGCAAAGCATGATTTGCAAACTTTCTGACTTCCACTGTATGTCATACCCTTCCACTGAGTATAGTTTTCAACACGCATGGATTAGTAAGAAATCTAAGAGGAAACACCTTAGGACAATATTTGTTGTGTACAGTATTTTCAGAACTATTTTGCAGCACAAATGAGGTAGAAATATTTGTCACACTACAGTGAGGACAGAAACTTACAAGACTGTATTACAAGACTGTATTTCCTCCTGACCACTACAAACAAAACAACTTCATTCATAAATCAGACAATACCTTCAGTTTTATAAACAATCTGAAAGAGCTACAATGGCAGGAGTAATGAAGTACTTGAAATAGGACAAGCAGAATCAGCAGATAAAATGTGTATCAGTAGATGAAAGTCCTACCTTTATGTAGGGCCTTAAAACCTGCAAGCTGTGCTTACATAAGACTTAAAATAAGGATTTTAAGCACATGCAAGAACTTCTACTGTCTTGTAAATATGTGCAAAATTTGTCTGTACTTCATGAGAGAACCGAGGAAGCACTATAGGTGAGAATAGTGCTTTAGAGATGAATAAATATCTCTAAAGGTTCCTATGCTGACACATTTAAATTTCAAGCACACAGTCCCACAAAGCAAATATCAGGTCTTTCATGCCCCAAAGAATCCTTGTTAATAATTATCTGCTCACTTTGGTTTCTTTGCATCAAAATGGTGTAAGTTAAAAATGCAAGAGGAGACAAAAAGCTCAGGAAGAGAAGGGCCAAATGAGGGGCTCAGTTCTGCTCCAGATAATTTTACAACAGATTCATCAGCAAGACGTTTGTAAACACAAAGCAACAGCTCACACAAAGCAATAGCTTTTCAAATGAATTTAGCTGAGGTATCATCATGCTTAACTACATAAGTATCTGTACTAAAAATAAATCAGAGCTGTTGTACCAATTATGATCCTGTTTACTGAAGTTCAGGACAAAAAATCAATCCTGAATGGCTGAAAGCCAAAGAGCATTACCGTGCAAGCCCATTTCTTAAATTATTAACTCTCCATTATCAGTGTCCATTACAGAAGGCTGACTACAATACTATCATATAAAGCAGACTTTAACCTCAAACCCCAATAATTAACAGAGCTAACTACATCCCTGAAAAGGATGAGGGTTCCTTTGTATTAGATATACCGAGAACAATCAATATTAAGAGGATTAGTATTTTCATCTAGCTTTATAAGCATCATAAAATCACAGATAACAGTTTTTAACATTAGTAAGGATTTTAAACGTCATTCATTTTCCATACAAACACAGAATTTAACCATTTTTTGAAATTAACTCATTACTCAGCACTCAGATGAATCCATACCACTTCTTATGATCCCATCTAGATTGTCTCAGTTACCTTTCCGATGAAAACTACTCCGAGAAAAAGAAAAATGATGAATTGAAGGACATGAAAATCTCATGCAAAGAATACTTTTCCTCTGGGTTCAACACAGGACATTATCAGCTTGAAACTAGTCAGCTTGATAAATGAATTAGAAGCTGTTTCAATGTAAAACATCTATGTAATGCAAATCTCAAGAAACTACATAAAGGAAAACAAGAAGTGTTCTTTCAACTGATGAAGAAACTGAGGTACTAAGCAATAAAGTTACTTAGCTAAAGTCATAAACTAAGGTAGATTAAAAAAAAAAAAAAAAAAAAAGACAATCAAAAAGCAGAAACAAATTCATGTATCAGTTTTCCTCCTTTGGTATGGAAACTGTTGTAGAAACAAGAACAGTTCGGTATACCCGTATATAAAAAGAAAAAAATTCCAGGACTCCTAATGGTGTACAAAATCTTAGATTAAAAAACATACATATTTCCTAAAGAAGTATGTTAAAACCAAAGAAGGAAAAGGAAGAAAAGTAGTATTATTCTTACACAAATGCAAAACCAGGATGATAGCTTGTACATTGCTGCTCTAATAAATTCTAGCGTGCAAAAGTGAATCCTTGGTCTGCATTCCATTATATGTATAGTCTATTTGCACCTGCAGAACTTGTTACTCAGAAAATCCCAGTGGAGATGATGAAGCTAAAAACAGCTCTTCTATACACAATCTGAAACACAGACACTAGCATGATCAGAGCTATCACATTCATTAACACAAGCAAATAACTGTTTAGCAGAATTTGCAAAGAGTAAAAATCTTTTTTCCTTCTGCACCCTTACTGATTAGTATTTTTGGCCACCCCTTTCACAAGTATTCCAATGATTACAGTCAAAGCATCTTGTCACTGATGGACTACAACACAAGCTTTAAAGCAGTGAACATATCTTTGAGAAGTACCTTTCCAAGGATAAACACCCTTCTTGGAGATTAATCAACGTTACTTTTGGTTCAACAGCAGAAGTGTTGGCAGAATAGCAGGTGGGACTTAAGCTTCAGAAACGATAATGACTCCTGCATCACTCATTTCATCCGTTCCAGGAAACCGTGACAAAGATCTTACTTTGAAACTATGTTTTCATTAGACATATGACCTATTGGACTGGGTTGTGACAATGACAAAAAGCAAAGATGCATTGGAGAATCTCAGCATAGGCCAGGAGATTCAGATTATGATTTGCAATTTTCTAGCAATGTATGCTTTAATTGTTTAAAATAAAATATTTATGAACTATTCAGACAAAAAAGGAAAAAGAAAGCAAAAGCCTCTGGAGTGGCTAGATGAGCTAAGAATCTCAGTGCTCAAGGAAAGAAAGGTTATAAACCTTACCATATAGCCCAGTGACAATTATCCAAAGAGAAGTAAACTGCACGTTTCTTTATGACACAACACCTTAGGAAGCTACTTCTACAATGTCATAGTTTATACATCATGCTTTTCTCACAGCTTTATTTCAGAAGATGTATTCTCCAGCAGATGCAAATTGAAATGCCTTCTCCATGACTACTCACCTACAAGTAAGAACAGGTAAGAACACTTTCTATCACAGTGAAAGAAGATTCCACCCACATGTAAACCAGGGAAAAAAAGTATCATCAGCTTAGTATAAAACAGTCAGTGTACAGAAGACACCAACAAAGGCAAACATGCTATTTTAAACGTGGAAACAGAGGTAACTAGTCTTAACCGCAGTGATAAAAATAGAAACAAGTCAAATTATGGCATTGGTTTGGCCCACTGCCCTTAATCTTTCCAGCCTTAGATATGTATGCATTGTGGACAGCCACAGAAAGTCTTGAGGAACACTTATATGAATTAAACTATAAAAAAGCAAAGTGTATTCTGATGTTAGACACATTACTTATTAATGCCTTGCTTGGATAATTTTTTTCCATGAAAAACATCGTGCACTTGGAGGATTCTGGCAACGCTTTCAGCAAATCAAGCCAATACTGCTGCTGAAGTCAATGGGAGTTTTGCCAGGACCTTAAATGGCAGCAGGGGCAGGCCAGACTTAGAAGATTAAGGCCCTGACCCTGTAATTCATTCTGCATAGGCAGACTATTATGCCACAGGGGAATTGCTTTGAAGTTAACACACGCATGTATTACAGCACTGTCGCCCAAACAGGCACTTTAATAGCACATGAAAGAAAAACACTTGCTTCATAATCATTAACTTATATGTCTTTTTATGTACTATATTTTATAAGCAACCTTCTAGGAAAACATACATCAATGTATTAATTTCCCTCCAGATATACAGCAGAAATGGCTAGCTAAGCCAATTACGCAACTCTGCTAACTTTCAACTTTCCATCAGTTGTGAAAGCCATTTATTGTGGCATATGGAGACCTGCAATATAGCTCTCAAAAAAAGAGGCCACATAAAACTAGAAGACAAATTCATTTATTTAACAAAAAACACCTCATACTTTAAATGCAGCATTAGAACACCTTAAATGAATTAGGAGAAGGCTTTTCAGCATGGTAAAAGATATAAATATCAGAAGAAACCTAGTTAGGCTATATGTAAGGCTTTTTATAGTGTCTCACATTTTAAGTTATATTTCTTTTTATTTTCTGAAGACTGACTTTAAAATACTTGTAGCTTCTTGCATTAATGGTTGGACAAGACATTAACATTGAGGTATTCTGCTTCTAAAAATCCAGAGAAACATGCACCACTGCAGTAATTCTCACTGAAGCTAAATGACTTTGCTTAATATGAAGCATGTTGCGGGTGAGTTTTGCAATATTAGGGCCAAGATCCTGTTCACACTACTTTATATTCTTGCTATCAGTGAAGAGCCTGCAGAGCTAAAATTTATGGAAGTTCACTTTGCTAGCACCAGGACTATGTATTTAGGTCTAAACCTTAAATCTTGATTAAATCCATGCAAAGCAGTTAAGGTGCAGATATGATGAAGGTAATAACTTGCCCTAAAAACTTTTATATAAAAGCTGTCAGGAAATGTTTTCCTTCTGATAAAATATTTCAGTTAAAGAAAAGGTTTACATTAAAATTATTCTCCAAAAATTGTTTCAAATAAAAGAAATCTGAATTCCAAAAACTTTTCTATTTCCAATGACAGTCTGAAAATTTTTGTCATAAAAACAAAAATATTAACATTTTTCATTTGAAAAGTTTTAAATAAAAATTTCAAATTCACTGTTATTGACCACACTGAGGAAAACCCAGAATTAACTGCTTATATTGAACATGCAACATAACCTACATGCACACGCAAACATACATGAACACGTAATGCTGAAATATAAGCAAAAAAAGCATTGTTTTTACCTGAAAGCTAATCATAGCTGTAAAGACCACAAATATAAAAGCTTACATGCTGTCTAGCTATGGAACCATAACGCATTTGATATAGCTGAATGTCAGAGTTCCATTCACCCCATCTGCAACTGTACTGTTAATTTCTTGACCGCAGATACAGAATTATGCATTTATAGGTACTGAACTGCTCTCCAGTCCTTGCAGCTGCCACAGGTATACTCTTTCCAGACTAACAGCTTGGTTCTGCCTTCCTGAATGGTTGCACTCCTTTCAGCTTTCATGCCCCTCATATATCTGATCACAGCTGATTTTCCCTTTAGCAGCAGAACCAAACTGCTAAACAGCCACAGAGAAACGCTTAATTTTAAGTCTTTGTTAGTGAAAAAGACAAGAAAGCCTCCTAAAGCGCACACTCAACAGGACTACAACTAATTCATACATGACTGAAAAAGAACGGATGCTTCACCAGCAGAATGTCTCTGTATTCATCAGAGCATGTATAGCTCCAAGTATTACCTGAAAATGCAACACCAATTCACAGTGCATTGGCTTAGTACAACTAGAGATAAAAGTAAGGAGACTGGCATTATAGGAAGATTCAAAGATGTGAATTACCCTTGATGCGCAGGCAACAAAATAAGTAATGAAAGAAGCTGGGTTTCTTCAGTTAAAAATACAATTTAAGATCCTGTGAAAGGAAAAAGTTCAGAAGTGGACAGAAAGGAACCAGCTTCTATAAAAGCTAGCCCAAAACTATTTAGAGCCAATATCCAAACAACTTTGGAGAAAAAAAAAAAATTCCCATAAACACTCAGATAGGCACATAGAGGAGGAATCACAGAATCACAGAATGGCCAAAGTTGGAAGGGACCTCTGGAGATCACCTAGTCCAACCCCCCTGCTCCAGGCTGGTTTTGAATATCTCCAGCGAAGGAGACTCCACCACCTCTCTGGGCAACCTGTGCCAGTGCTCCGTCACCCTCACAGCAAAGAAGTTTTGCCTCATGTTCAGACGGAACTGCCTGTGGTTCAGTTTGTGCCTGCTGCCTCTTGTCCTGTTGCTGGGCACCACGGAGAAGAGTATGGCTTTCACCCTCCCTTCAGATACTTGTACACGTTGATGAGATCGCCTCTCAGTCTTCTCTTCTCCAGGCTGAACAGCCCCAGCTCTCTCTGCCTTTCCTCACAGGAGAGATGATGCTCCAGTCCCCTCATCATCTTAGTGGCCCTCCGCTGGACTCTCTCCAGGAGTGCCATGTCTCTCTTGTACTGGGCAGCCCAGAATTGGACACAGCACTCCAGGTGAGGCCTCACCAGGGCTGAGGAGAGGGGCAGGATCACCTCCCCGACCTGCTGGCAACACTCTGCCTAACGCACCCCAGGATCCCATTGGCCTTCTTGACCACACGGGCACATTGCTGCCTCATGCCCAGCTTGCTGTCCACCAGCACTCCCAGGTCCTTCTCGGCAGAGCTACTTTCCAGCAGGTCAGCCCCCAGCCTGTCCTGGTGCACGGGGTTATTCCTCCCAAGGTGCAGGACCCTGCCCTTGCCTATGTTGAACTCCATGAGGCTCCTCTGCGCCCGGCTCTCCAGCCTGTCCACGTCCCTCGGAATGGCAGCACAGCCCCCTGGTGTGTCAGCCCCTCCCCCCCGGTTAGT